GAGGGCCCCCCCCGGGCTTGCCGGGGAAACTGAGGCAGGGGGACTGCAGGAGCGCCGGGCAAGCAGGAGCTGCTCCGTGGGGTTGGCTTTGGGGACAAGGGGCAACTGCGAAAGATTCTCTTGGGAAGGGAAAAGATGCCCCAGCTCTTGCCTCGGCTTTAGCTCCGGCTTCACGTCAGTGTGTGGGCGATGAGGGTGGGTGGGTGGCCGGTGGGTTGGGAGATTTTGCCGGAGCCGCGGCAAGGAGGATTTCTACCTGTTTTGCTGAAGGCTGGAACTGCCATTCGAGGTTTATTTCTCTTGTTTACACAGAGATAAAGCAGCTCTGATTTATGTCCGGCAGGACTGTGCACTGAGATGAGTAATCTGTTTTCTTAAGGCTTTTTTTTTCTTTCTTTCTTTCTTCTCGCTCTCTTCCCCTGGCAAGAATTGCACCGGGTCATTCTCTGAGCTTGTAGGTTTTCCTGTTAATCTGTAATTTTGATCATTGACGAGGTGAGGGAGCAAATATTTTCCTCTGCAAATTGCCCTCATGTTCCCTTCCCAAAGACTTAATAGAGAAACTTCCTACGGCTAGGGCATTATTTTTAGGAAATTCATGGAAGGACTTGTCTAACACTAGAAATAATGAGGAGTAATTAAAACTCAACTGATGTTGCCAAAGTCCTGGAAACTTCCCTCCCCCTTTCTCCCTCTGATGCCCCATTTTTCTCTTCCTGTATTTGTTTACCAACTTGCTGAGGATTTAACAGTCTGGGGTCTCCTCTGTCAGCAGGATTGAAAGTTTTGCTGTTGCCTGGAAAGAGAGGGAAAAAAAAAGCGCCTTTAATGAGGAATAGGAGCCTGGCACAGCTTCCTCAGAGAGTGGAAAAGACAGAGGCCAGCTGATGCTTTCCAAGTACTAGGAGAAGGTGTATGAAAAAGCAGATCTGTGTCTTGAAACCAGCTATTAAGTATGGAAGCAGAGTTAAAATGTGAGCAAGAGCTTATCTAGGCATCGGCACTTGGTCTCATTTGTAGCTGCAGCTCCCGCGTTGCTTAGTTTGGCTTGGAAGATCTTGTTTGGGAGGGAAAACCCCATCGTTGCTCTGGGGCAAAGCAGTGAGGAGATGGCAGAGCCCAATGGAGAGTCTGTCCCAGGAGGGACATTTTTCCAGGAACACAGTCCCGGCCCTTTGGCTATCTCTCCTGGCAGGGAAGCAAGTTGCTCTCTGGTGGGGCTCCAGCCAGGCAGTGCCCCCAGGGCTGCCATATCCATGTGCTGACTCCCTGAGAAGATGCTGTCAAGCTCTTGCCTCCACCTGCTTCCCATTTCTCCTTTCCTATGGCCATGTAAGTTTGCCATGCCCACAGGGATATTTCAGCCCAACGCTGAAACATTTGCTGTCCCCACTGCTGTCCTCACCAACCCTTGCAGCCAGGCTCTACATGGTCTCTCAAAGCCAGAGCACCTTGGTATTGGTTTGTTATCTTTCCTTTTGGCTTTGAATGCTTTGAAATCTGGTGGAAACAGCTGTCTGAGCGAGGTTTCACTTGCAAAAACATACAGCACCTCCTAAGCACGGCTATGAGGAGGAGGTTTCCTACCATTTATCTTCTCACCTCCTTTGCTTGAAGATCACGAGATGCTAATTTGGCGGTTTCAGTCATAGCTGACTTCATTCCCTGGTTGACCTTGAACTCCATTAACCTCAACAGAAACCTCACGGAGAGCTGGACCATCCTCTTCCAGGCTTGGGCTGGGAACCCTGACCCCAGCCGGAAAAACAAACCACAACTAATAAATAGATGTGGCTGAGATAACAGCCAAGGGCAGAGCAAGAGAGGAGGCAAAGCGGGCCAGAGCAGGTGGTGGGCAGCAGGGGCAGGAGCATCTCCTGCCCATCAGGTGGGGTGGGAGGGCACCAAGCTGTGTTCACCATCCTCTTCCAGGCTTGGGCTGGGAACCCTGACCCCAGCCGGAAAAACAAACCACAACTAATAAATAGATGTGGCTGAGATAACAGCCAAGGGCAGAGCAAGAGAGGAGGCAAAGCGGGCCAGAGCAGGTGGTGGGCAGCAGGGGCAGGAGCATCTCCTGCCCATCAGGTGGGGTGGGAGGGCACCAAGCTGTGTTCTTCCTCTCTGCCCCCCCCCCGAGCAGTGCCCCCAGCAGCCTGCTGATGGGATGGAATTTCAGCTGAAGTACGCTGCTGATACAAGAGGGAATTTCCGCCTGAATTCCTCCCACTTGAGTTTTGGCCCTGGGACCTCGCAGTAAACACGGCAAGTGTCCCTGCAAGGAGATGGAGGGGCTGAAGGCTGTTGTTCGGGGCTGAAGGCTGTTGTTCGGGGCTGCTCTCCTGGCTGCTCACCCAGGGGTGCCACTGTTTTCCGGACTGGCACAGGCGACGAATCAGTCAGTCAGGCTAATTTCACTGCCAAGAAGAAAAAAGAGCTTTTTTTTTTTTTTTTTTTTTTTTAAAATTTTAAAATAAACGCCTCTTGCAGTAAGGATTCAAAGAGCTGGAGGTCTTAACAAAGGACAGTCCCCCTTCCCAAACCCAGAGGAAGGAGATGAGGGCTGTCAGCAACAGAGCCGGCGTGGAGCTGGCTGTGGATGAGGAGTTTGCACGTGCTGGAGCACGTAAAGATTATTTGCTGTTTATAGCAGAGATTTGTCACCTGTGAGATGGACGTAGTGTGCAGCTAGCATAAAGCTCAGACTGAAGTACCAATGCACTCGCCCTGGGGCTGCTCAGCCTCACAGATGCAGGTGACAGGGGCTGGGTCTGAGGCTGTTGGGACTGGTGGGGAGCATCCCCCACCTGCCTCGCCTGCAGAGAGACCTCATCTCTAGGCAAGGGTTGGTGTTTCCATCAGCAGAAAGAGAAAAACGCTGTATCTGGATAAATAATAATTAAATCCCAAAGGGATGTGACTGCATGGACAAGGTCTCCTTTCAGTGCTGATGTGACACCATTTAAGGATGGGTTTGACTACATCTGAGTGCTGTTGCCCAAAAGCGAGTGGGAGGCAAGAAGCAGTCGCCCCAGCAAGGACTGGGAAAACATTTCATCTTCTCATCGCCCTGCCCTTGAGCACCTCCCATATCCAGGAATACGTCTTGCAGTCTTCCCACCCAGATCACTGCTTATGTCTGGCTACAGAAAAATGAACCTGTGAGTCTGTCTCTCTCCAGTGGGGCCAGGGATGCCACAGACAGTTCCTGGCCATCCCCTCGACTGCCTGTCCCCACACCAGCTCCTGGTCTTTGAGCTGGAACCTGTTGTTCTAAATATCTCAGCCCTCAATTTCTCACCATAAATACACTTGCTGCTCTGGAAACTTGTTGAATGGTGCATTTTACAGAAACTCATGCCAGCAGCTGTTTGCTGTGAGAGTAACAACCAAAATTTACACCATCCCTGGCGTGGGGTTGTTATTTTACTGGGCAGTATTTGGAAAATAACCTGATGTCTGTGGCATCTGGGAATGGAGAATAAACAGTTGGCTGAAAACCCTCTGCCTTCCTTCTGCTGCCACTTTGTGCAAATATCCTCCCTCGCTCCACTGTCCCCCCATCCCAGAGTCATCTGTGTCCCATAGTCTACATAAATGCATGTATATATGGGGCCTCAAAGCTGCAAGGCACCATGCTGCACGTGCAAACATCAGCAAAGCTGCTGTTATTTGCACTTTATTTCAATGCTATCACCCAGGTAAGCCTGCCTGGATTAAAAGCAACACGCTCTGCTTGGCTGGATGTTGCTGAAGCTGGATGGGTGAATCTCAGCACGTACAGCCTGAGGATGTATTTCTAGCATGTGTCCTCTTTTTTCCTCTGCAGCCCGGGGCAGCCTCCAGCCGTGGTCACAGGGTGTCATCGCGGTGGTTGTGTTTCTAGTCCTGGTGGCCATCGTTTTTGTGGTCAACAGGTTCTGGTGTAAGGAGAAAGTGTAAGTGTGGGAGCCCCGGGGTTTTGCTTTGGGTTGGGCTCAGCTGCCTCTGCACGGGTCACTTCCAGCTGCTTTCGTGGCCAAGCCAGGGCTGGGAACGCCACAGTTGCTGTGCCGGGAGCTGGGCAGGGAGAGCAAAGACTCCCTGTCCTGTTCTCCCTGTCCTCTTCTCTCTGTTCTGGTCTCTGCTCCCTGTTACTTATTGCCAGGTGCGAGCTTGCACCATCCAGACGCTGCCGTCAGAAAGCACTGTGCTGGGGACGGGAGCTGCAGCATCACGTCTGGTTTACTCAGGCACGTGTTACAGGGGGTTGGCCTGAGCCTGATTTCCTATGGATTTGGGGGTGCAGTTTCCAGGTGCACTATATCCACAAGAAAACAAGCCCAAAACAGCTTTGTTTGCAAAGCGTTCTGAGACAAGTCATTAGAAGACACCAAGAGGAGCTGGGAGAAGAGGGAGGTGGCTGAGCTGTGGCAGCATTCTCTGCCTAGAGCCCATGGCACAGGCAAATAAGGTGGCCTATTTCATCAGGAAAAGGCTCTGTGGGACTGGTTACCTCTTGCTCATTGCCAGCCAAGCAAAGCCACAGGCTGCTGCTGCCCCTGCTCAGCCAACTCAGGCTAACTGGCCAAGTTGCAGTAACTTCATGGTGAATCTGAGCCCAAAGTCTACAGGGGGTGAAAATTAAACGGGTCCTATAGCCTGGTTCCCAGATCCTCTGCACCATCGTGGATGTTTTGGGCTTTGCACCCAAAGGTGCTGGAGTCTTTTTGTATCTGTGCATCCCTGCAGGCTGAGGAGGTGGGGATGTGGGGTGTACCCCGATGTTCAGTAGATCAGCTCCTGCCCTAGATGCATTTAAAGGAAGCCCTTTGGGATGCATTCAGGGCCAATGCATAATGCAATGTATACATACATATTTGTATGGTCTGATTTGTAACTGCAGTCTTTGTTTCCCAAAGAGAAGCCTTTATCCTCAAACCGGAGGAACTCCTAGCCCATGGACTGGGAGGCAAGGATGAGGTTTCCCACCTCTGCCCGTGCCTGGCTGCCTCTTCCCAGCCAGGAGGCAGAGGATGCTGAGGAGGGCTTGAGGGAGGATGGTAGCTTGTTTTAATTAATCTGGCCTCTCTTCAGAAGAGTGGGTAGCGAGGCTCGGCAGCCTGGCACACTGCCAGCTCCATGCTGTCACTGTGACAGCAGCTATCAGCTCAAGCCACTGCCTATTTATGCCAGTCTGTTCCTCAGAAAAGCCTCTGAAATTGCCCTTGGGCAATGCTGGAGGAGGCAGGGACATGTGCACAGGGTGGACCTTCACCCACCCCCTGCAGCTAAACCCTCCAGCACTGCTCGCTCCAGAGCTGAGCATTTAGGCTCCAGTTAAGGTTGAACACCCAGTCTCTGCCCCGTGGTTCCTTCTGCAAGTGATCCAGACTCACACTTGAGAGAAAGCACATGTGCACCCCTCTTGCATCAGGGCAGAGCCCAAGCATTTCTCTCCCTGTCTGTTGGGACCCATAAGGGACTATTTTGCAACACATTACATAGAAGAAGACTGGAAAAACCAGTTAGCGGGAGAAAACAATCCCATCTATTGACAAATGGGTCTTGCTGGCTGCCAGCCCGGCACTGGGAGTACCAGCTCCAGAGACAGGAGTTGGCGCTTGGCATGGCCCCTGCAAACCTGTCAAGAGAATGTCTCTCCTTGCCTGTGTGCTGCTGGGAAGGAGGCTGAGCTGAGTGTCCGAGGCCAGGATCACACATCCAGATCCCTTATTGTCTGTGTGGTGTCAGAGCAGTCCCTTCCTCTTTGCCATCACCATTGCAAGTTGCTCCCCAGCACAGCTGCTCTGTCTCAGTTCCTCTCTTCTCCTCCTCCAGGGAAAACGTTGAGACAGTGGTGGGCGTCGAGGACAAGCGGGAGGCTGTCACGTCCAACGGCCATGAAGGGAGATACGTAACCGCTGCAGCCGACTTCAGGTGAAGCACTTGCTCAGACCCTCTCACCATGGCTCCTAGGCTCTGTTACATTACCTTGGGGATGGCTTGGACATGCAGAGCTATGGCCTCTCCCACTCAGGGGTCTCACATGTCCCATGCACCTGATTTTGGTGCTTTTATCTTCTCCAGAGGTTAAGGAGAAGGCAGCGAGGGAGTATTCCCTCCTCCTCAGTCTCTTCTCATTCCTGTGGCTGAGCGCCGTGGCCCATCCACCACCTTGCAACCTGCTACATCACATTTTTATTCTTCTGCATCACGCCTGCTACAGTTCAAACAATGGAAACCACCAAAAGTGGCCATAGGCCACCACACAGATGCCGAATATCAAAACAGTCCTTGCTAGAAATTAGAGCAATTCCCACCTTCTGCTTGTGTCTCCTCCTGGCAGAGAGACTACTCCTGCCCTCCCCACCCCTTAATCAATGCTCGTCCAGCACCAGCAAGGTCAGGGCCTCCATGGTGGCTTTGAGGAGACGAGTCTTGCTGGGTGTGAGCTCACCGCTATGCTTCTTGCCAACACAGGTCCAAAGAGAATGAGCACGCCTACGAGAACACTGTGGAGCCTGAGGAGAGAGTGATCACCACTGCCATGTAGCAGGTGCCCCGGCCAGCAGCCCTCATTCCTCTTCTCACTTTGCTTCCCACTGTTGCCATGGGCATTTTCGCAGGGACCCTCTACACCAGCATCCCCGTGTGTGGCGGCTCCCTGACCTCTCCACGGCACATCCGTCTCCTGATCTTTTTCATTCCCATCCGTGTGATGTGCTCTTCTGCCTCGGAGGCTGGTGTCCACACAGGCATCGATCCCCAGGAGAGGTCTGGAGGTGCCACCTCTCCTACCTGGTAGTCAGCCCACCTGGTTGGGGAGGCTGATGTCGCTGGTCCTGTGAGGGTGCTGACATGGAGAGGTCCTCACTGGGTGCCTGGGACGTCCCCACACCCTCAGCCACCCTCTAAGAAGATGCTGATGGAAAATCCACTCTCTTGTCCCAGTTTCACCCTCCTTTTTACAACTTGCACCATGCATTTTAATGTCAGAACAACCCTCCTCCCTTGTACATATCTTCCCTGTGAGCAATAAAGAGAATTGTTGCCCATACAACAGCAAAGAGGATTGTTTTACTAATCACCCAAAGGACTTTGTGGCATCTAGAAGCACTCCCAGCCTTTGGGCGGTTTGAGAAGGGCAGGACACTGAGGAAAGTGGTGCTGGGACGGGAAGGCTGCTCAGATGTGGTCAGCACTCCCATCTCTCCTGTGATCTCTCCTGGGTAGGATCCAGCTCTTATTTCCTCATTTGGATGAAGGCAAGAGTGCTTTTGTGTGTGTCTGTGTGTCAACAGGGGAGAGAAAAAACTGGAGTATTTTTTTTGCTCGGCATTTGGACAGCCTCAGGACCACAGGGGCAGGTGAGCGTCATTCCTCTCCATTTGCCAGGTGGGGAAACTGAGGCACGGCACCAACGCAGCACTTCCCAGCACTGCTTACTGGGTGAAAGGCAGTACTCTCCAAATCCCACTTGCCACGGGGCACACACCCACAGCCAGCTGGGGACCATTCCCAGGGCTGGAGGCTGTGAATGGCAACCCCCTACTGGCGTTGCCAGAATGTGGCTGGGGGCTGCTCTGGGCAGCACTCATTCTCCTGAGAGCAGCTGGCCATGGCGCAGCCTACTCCTGCCAGGCTGTTCATTAACCAGAGTCTGTTTTTTGCTGGTGGGGCAGCGCTGAGTCTACCATGGGTGCAACAAGCACTCCTGAGCCGTGGCGTCTGCAGCTTGACATGAGAGACCCGTAACGCGTTGGCCTTCCCTGGACATCAGTTGCCCAAATGATGTGCAGGGATCTCCCCTTGACCAGCAAGGAAGGAGTTAAGGGGCTCTGCAATCAACAGCAGTCAAGAGGCTGCAGGTGGAGCAGGACTGGGAGGGATAGGATGGGGAGTTTATAAGGGGGGCATTTTTAGCAGCCCTTGGGTTTGGAGAAAGTGAAGTGGTTTTGGGATTCTGCTGTGCTTGAGGCTGTGCAAATATGAAGAGGAGGACATCAGGTGCCTGAGCCACCTTTGAGCATCGAGGCAAGGGGAAATGCTAGATGAGCTGTGAAACTGCAGCTGTGATGGGTTTGGATCTGGGAGGAGCCCTGACCTCTGCAGGAGGTGCTTTGGAGGCGTTTGTAGACAGAGGTGCCAGAAACAGGCAAGGGGGTATTGGGGCTGGAGGTACTGCTTTGCCTCTCATTAGCAGAGTTCCTGCTCTGTGTGTTTCAACCCTGAAGGGGCTTTCCTGCTGCAAGGGCTATCCCCTGCTCCTCTGGGCTTGCCAGTAACCTTAAAAGCCCTGAGCTTCTCCTGTAGGAGGTGTTGTCCAGGCTCCTTCCCCAGGCAGGGTCTTGCAAGACACCCTAAACCACCAAAACCCATTGGATATTCCCCAGAATGAAGCTGTGACAATCCTGGTGCGAAGCTCAGCCCAAACCAACCAATTCCCACTGCCAGGAGCCCCCTCAGGATGGAGCTGGGAACTGGAGCTGGACGCTGGTGCTGCTGTGAGCTGCTGGCATGCTTTCTGCAGGTAAAGCTGTCAATATCTCTGCTGGGTGGTGACCCAGAAATTCAGGCTTGGGAGTTAAACAAAAGCCTTCCAGTAAGAGACCCACCCTGAAAGGCATCTGCCCGAAGAGCCTCACGTAGGCAAGCGGTTTGAAAATGCCCGCAAGACTCAGCATTGAGAAATCGCAGCTCCAGCCGAGAAAGTGCATGGGGGTAGAAAAAAACAGGCAGAAGGTTTGGACGTGTCAAGACCTCGGGTACAGAGGCACGACAGCTGCCATCCCCAGCATATCCCTTCTGGGTAGAAGGCAACAGCTCTGAGTAGCTAGAGGCTGAGTGAGCCCCAGGCTAGGTCCTGGCCTTCCCTGCTCATACTCAGATGGATGCTGCTCCCTTGTTTTTCCCTCGCAGGTGCCAAACGTCACACGGGTTTGGAAAAAAACAAGCTTCCCGGAGTTGAGCTGCAATGCTTCGCTCAGCAGGGTTTAAGGAGGATTAGTCATTGCGCGATCCCGCTGCGTCAGCACTTGGGCTGAGGGCTGGGGGTGTGGTGAGAGGAGGGGAACCCATTAATTTTTACCTCTTGGTTGCAAAAGGAGTTAGAAACAGCATCCTTGTAATGAATAACAGCGGGAGTTTATTCTGTGCCCTGTGCACACCCTGAATGTGTGATGAATGCCCTCAGCTGTGCCCGGTGCAGCTTTGGAGCTGGGGCGTGTGGGGGGCTTGGTGGGTGCCTTTCCCCATGGACACCTCCCATGGTCGTAGGTCCAAGGAAGCAGAAGGATGAAGATTTACCACGGCACATTTTGGGCTAGCCCAGGAACCTTGATGCTTGGTCTTACCCCAGACAGTGCCTCTTCAGAGTTCACTTTCCCGGGGAAACAAAATCTTTTGCAAGAGCTGCTATAGCACCTCTTTAGTGGAACCTCACCTCTGCACAGTCTGTGGTGCCATCCTGCCTCAGTTTCCCTTGTCTGTCAAGCATGACCCAAGGCTGCCTATGGGGAGGGGGTTGCCTTCCTGCAAGCTGTGCAGCCAGCTCATGGCTGCTTCTTGGTGTGATCCTAAAAAGAACAAAAGGGAGCGAGCATAAATGAAATTTATTGTTGAAAAATCTTAATTAGATTTTAAGCCCCAAAGGGAGAAAAGTGAGGTATTATCTGACACAGCTAATGAGTGTTAAGGATCCATTGTTATATTTCTTGTTTACCTTTCTGTGCTGGCTGATACGGCCCGGATCCTCGCCTGTACTGCCATAATTAGGATATCTCATCTCTCGCTGATAGGGTCGGGGATGCTCTTTAAAGCACAATGCTGTCTCATCCCTCCCTGTCAGGATGAGCATGATCGGGAAGGCAGCTTCTGGCATTTCGGTGCTCATGCCCACCACCTTGACCCTGTGAGCTGAGAGATGGCCTCCAGAGCCAGGGCTCCACCTCATAGCCCCAGGTGATGGGCACCTCCAAGAGCCTTGGTGACCTCTCTGAAGGGCCCTGAGCCAACTTGCTTGGGGTCCAAGTCCTTCCCAGCACCTCCCTTCAGCACAGAGAGTGACCATGTCCTCCACCCTGTCCCCATGCCCACTGATGAAGGGGAACAACACCCATGGGTACCCCATCCCATCCCTCAATCTGTAATGCTGGTATTTCTGAAGACTGTGGTTCAGGAAGACGTTCAGGGTTGCGACCTGCTGTGGTCAGGAGAGTCTCCTTTGGGGCAGGAGATATTCAAGGTGGTCTTTTTGTATCACAAGATGTATCACAGCTTTCCTTTGTGGCCTAGGAGTGTGCACCCCATCCCCTGGACCACCAGATAACACAGCATCTTGTTGAAAGGTACCTTCAGGCTTCCCTGATGTCACTGACGTTAGCGAGGCTTTTTAGCTACAGAGATTTAAGATGTTTCTTCTCCAACTGTGACCACAACCGTGGCGAAGCTTGGGCAGGTGGACACCTACCTCATGGCCTGGATGTCCAGGCACAGCCCAGGAGTAGCTGCATTAAACCACTGACAAAGGTGAGTTGGCACTGTCCGGCCCTGAGGATATATGAATTATTCCAACGTGGTTTAATTAGAGACCTGCTGTATGCAGGTAAATTGCTGCTGGAAGGACCACCAGCTCCAGCCTTGGCCCTGAGCAACGTAGCCAGGGGTTTATGTCCTGGCATTGGGTGCCTTGACACCCAAGTGATGTGATTTGGACCTCCAGAAGCAAAAAGGAGCCTGTCCCACCATCGTGGTCCTTCGGTCCAGGGAAGGAGCCCAGCCACCCAGGTGGGAGCCGGGATCATGGTGTGTAGGGGTGACAGTGTGTGGGCAAGGGGGCTGCAAAGTTTTTGGTCTCGATTCAAGCCACTGAAAGCCAGAAGTAAAATACCATTCATTGTTGGTTTATACACTCGTAGTAGCCAAACAAACATCCCCAGAGCCTGTCCTTATCGCTTTATTACACCTGCTAGAGTGAATAGATTAAAGAGGATGGGGGAGGGGGGAGAAAGCAGAAGAATCCGGCAGAAAAACTGGGTTTTGGGATTGTTAATTATTCTCTGGGGTTTCTAATCTTTAACTGGCAAACAGCATCACTAACTGTCTTAAAGCCCCTCCTGGAACATCCTGATAATAAGCCATCTGCATGAAGGCACCCCGTTATCTGCCCTCCTCCAGCCGCCTGTGACATGGCTGGAGTAGGAGATAATGAATGTGTGGTGTGTAATAACGACACGTCATTCATGATTATCGGCCTGATACCCAACCTTTTAGCTCCATTGTTTGTGCTTCAAAAAAGAAGAAAAAAAATAAAAAGGAGGAGGGAAAGAAGAAAAAGGGGAATTTGTGGTGCTATAGGCCGTCCCGGGGTCCCTGAAGTATCTCCCTGCCAAGGGGGCTGGCTCTTGTAGCATCTCCCAGAGGGTTTGGTGGTACTCTGGAAGGATTCACCAGTGGATTGGTGGCTGCTGTAGCCATGGTGATGAA